TCTGGGGGGGCGGGAAGTGGGAGGGGCAGGGGCGGGGCTAGGGCAGGGCTCCTCCTGTCCTCTTTTTTGCTTGTTGAAATATGGTAACCCTAACATACACACACACACATACAAACACACACACACCTGCAATCCCAGCTGGTGATCCCATAAGTCCCTCCCAGCAACCTGACCCCCACCACAAACTACTGAGTGTGCCAGATAAGGTGAGTGGGGCACATGTGGGTCAGGGTTGGGGGTCAGGCCCCATAGGGGAACAGGGGACACTTACCAAGGTCTGCGGCTCTTTCCCTTCATCGATGGAGGCGTCTGCAGAACAGAGACACCCGCTGAGCTGCACCCCCGGCCGGCCCAAAGCAGAACCCCACACCCACCTCTGACCCCTCCATCCAGCTATGGGGCTCAGAGCCCAGCACAGCCACCCCGCCACTCCCCTTCCCTTCAGCATGGGCCAGGGTCATTAGCCCCATGTTACAGAGACAAAAACTGAAGCACAAGATGTCTGGGGGGTTACAGCGGGGGCGGGGGGCTGGGAATCCGAACGCCTGTGTCCTCACCCTGGCTCGGGAGGAGAAGGGGGTCTAGACTAGTGGTTAGAGCAGGGGTCTGGGAGCCGGGAGTGGATGGGGAACTAGAGCGGGAAGGGAGGGTGGCCCCAGGGAGCTCCTGGGAGTCCAACACTCTCAGCTGACACCGGCTACCTCTGGGACCCTCTCCTTACTCCCGCCCAGCAGCAGCTGTAAATCAGACCCCGCCCCCTATGGGTGGAGCCCCCACAAGCCACTCCCCTCCCTAGGGGTCCTGCCCCACCCTGGTACCCCCCTGGGTGTGTTACTCACAGGTGGGGTCTTCCTGAGCCGGTGCCTTTAATGCCACCATAGGGCTGGTGCTAAAAGAGAAAATTCCCTTGTAAATGTCATATCCCCCCACCCGTGGGAAGATTCTTCAACACACCCAGAGAGCCCCCCATCCTGCCTCACACTGAACCCAGTTCCCTAAACCCCCCTTGCCCCAATCACCAGACCCCACCCCGCTCTAACCACTAGACCCCACTCTCCTCCCCAAACTGGGGACAGATCCCAGGAGCACTGTGACCCCGGCAGGTTGATTCGGAGGGGGGAGGAGCTGGGTTCCTACCTGCTTGGTCTCGGTGCGGCTCCTTTTCCTGCAGAGGGACACAAACCAAAATCCCCCATGAGCCGATCGGGATCCGCTGGTACCAGTGCCGGCTACTCACCCACACAGGGCACCAGGGATGGGGGTGCCTGGGGGGGTCCCCTCTGCTGCTGGTGCTGAACCTGGATCCCTGCTGGGGTGCAATGGACCAGCAGGGGGCAGCGCAACACCAGAGCATGCTCCAGGGGCTAGGGGCAGATTAACTCAGGGGGCTTTTCCTGTCCCCAATCCCCCCTCGTTAGTGACTTCTTATAACGAACCTGGTCCACAGCTTGGCTCCCCTGGCACCTGAGAGGCACGGTACCGGTGGCTCTTTATACAGGGACCCCTCGCCCAGGGCTGAGATGCAACCACCTCTGGGGTGGGTGTGACAGCTGTGTGTACAGGGATTACTCATGCAGCAGAACCCCCTGCTGAGCCTTCACCCCCCCACCCCCATCCTTGGCTTTCCTGGCACAGTCCCCCATCCAAGCCATGACCCCATCCCGCCCTGCTTAGCGGTAGGTTTAACCCTTCCCTCGCTGGGGGGCACTTACTGGCTCGGGTTTTTCTGAAGCAGACGAAGGCCACAAGGAGGAGGAGGAGGACAGCAGCTACCACACTCACCCCAGCGATGATGGGGCTGGTCAGACCCGGAGGTGCCGGCGATTCCGATCCGT